AGATACCAATGGCTATATTTAATAAATGTATCTGTTTCTCATTTCCGAGAAGACAAGAATTTGGACAAAATCTAAGTAGTGCAGGATGAGTCACCAATATTTTTGCTCTATTTTTCCTGGAACTCAAAGCTAACAGATACAGGTATTAACTGAAAGTGTTTTGTGTCTGCATTACAATGTCATACTTTTATGTTTTAGAATGGGCTCAGTTTTGCAAAATACAAAATTAAATGGTCACCAAAAGACAGGATTTTCAGAGATGAACACTTCAGCACATCAATTAGAACCAAAGCCCGTCTTCTGAGCATCCAAATTAAACCTCCAGACAGTCTCGGATCTTTTCTGAGAATGTCAGCGATGCTTCCCCTCATTGTCCTCTTATAAACTGAGAATTGACAGCCAAACGTGACCTTAACTGAGCATTTGACGAGGGTTTGTTTTTCTGAGGATTGCAGAATTAGGATATTTTTGTGACCCTTCAGAGTTTTACACAGAGTTGTTTATTTTGGACCATTGAATCTCATGACACATGATCCCTGCGTCTTTGTTTGGATTAGGGATGCACAAATACCCATATGGGTAACCATTGGGCTCAGGCATTGGTCCAGTTGTAACTCTTGTGCCATTATCAAGTGCCTATTCTCATACGAAATGATCTTGTGACTGTATTGAATCAACAGCAACAGAATTACGTCTCTATTCTCGGCTGTCCTTGTAAGTGGCTGGCTTGTGTGTTCAATAGGGCATAATTGAACAGTGGAGGTTGAGGCGGTTGGTTTGATTCAAAAGCTAACTCAATTTGTATTCATTACATTTATATGGATAGAGCACTTTAAAAAGTCTGTACAGTTATATATACTATCATTCAAAACAAAGATTGGATATACCTACTCATTGTTTATTCAGACTTTTTTCAACATTTCTCCAAAACTATCAAAAATAACAAATGGAAGTTTGGGAATTATGTATTGACCAAAAAAAATAGATAAATGAAAAATATAACAGAATAAAAAAAACATTATTATGCATTTCATGCAAAACATTTTATGTTTATATAAATAATTCATATTAAATGTAGGTATTTAAATCAAAACATTTTTCATGATCATAAGTAACAAATTTCGTAAGGAACTGGAAAATCACATCTTAATTTCCCTCTCTATCACTGTTCTCTATGTTACGCATCAGTACCCATGAATCAGAGCCATTAATCTCCTGAACTTTTGTTATAAATTGCATAAATTAGCTTTTCTTACTTCCAGACAACTTTTTAGTTTCTCAACTTCTTTCTAAAGTATATCAGGTATGCATTATATAATTTAAGAGCGTTCATAAACTGCCGTTGAGTTTGGCTGATGTGTACCCAGCTTGCCTATTGCTTGGCAGCATTTTCAGGAGCTCTAGTGTGAACAGCTCTGTCATTACACAAGCACATGTAGGTCAGGCCAGCGTGTATTTATATAAAGATCACATATGTGCAGCACCATTCCAGCCTTCTGTCCCCTCCTCTGGACACACATAGCATCACTAGGGAACAGCTGCCTCTTTCACTCACAAACACACACATAAATATACACACAAGACATCCATCTATCCATTTTCTAAATCGACTGTCCTAACGAGGGGATGCTGGATTCTCTCCCAGCGTTTTGGGTTTTAGACAGGGAATGGATAGCCCTGGATGGATGGCCAGTCCATCCCAGACCAGGATTAAAGTTAAAGGGGTCCTATTATGCTTTTTCACTTTTTCAACTTTAGTTAGTCTGTAATGTTACTGTTTGAGCATAAAAAAGATCTGCAAAGTTACAAAGCTCAAAGTCCACTTCAAAAGGAGATATTTTATTTAACAGAAATCACTTTTCAAAAACTACAACGAACGACTCGTTTGGACTACAACGCATATTTTACGGGATTTGTGATATCACAAATATCGACGAATGGGACGAGACCTGGTTGAGCTGCACTAAAGAAGGCAATGAGTGTTATCACTATGTCGGAGACGCGCTAGCTTTCCCAAAGCAGACGAACTTAGAGTGGTTACAATCATCCGGATTTAAATCGCACTCAAATTGATTTGATTTTGACACAATATTTACACTAAAGCGTGCAGGTGGCTATGGTAAGGGGCATGACATTTCCGGCGCCGAGTGCTGCCAATCACAACACACACAGGAAACCAATCACAGCACATTTCGTATTTCAGAAGGCGGGCCTTCATTTGATACAGGAACTATTCGAGCCGTTCATGCCAGACTGGGGAGAGAGGTGTTATAATAATGTAAAATATGTGAAAAATAATGTGTTTTTCGAACAACCTAGTATGAGAGCCTGTTCTAGTACACCCCCAAAACAAAATCAAGACTTTGTAAAAGAGCATAATAGGACCCCTTTAAGTAAAACTAAAAAGCAATTTTGTTAACTACTAAAATTAGTAATGTTTTCATGGCAACCAACTTTTGTTTGAGTTTAAGCTGTAAAATTACTATTACAATTAGAAATAAATTGAATAAATTATACCCATGTAGTAATATTTAAAAAACACAAAAAAATTAAACTAAAATTCTAATGAAAATTGAAAATATAAAAATAAAAGCTAATTCAAAATATGAATAAAAACTGTAATAGTATATAAATAATACTAAAATAACACTGTTGCAGACACAAAGACATGCATATAAAAATATGATTTTTGCATAATTTTTCCAGTTCCTTTTAAAAGAAAACAAAAGTCTATTTTTTCAACCAGTGTCAAGTGTTTTTATTTTATAAAAGTGACTGTAAGGCCACGTGTCCACCAAAGCATTTTAAGCCAGCTGAAAATGGCAGGAGCTCTTTTGAAAACGGCCAGCTGTGGACACTTAAGCCCGCTTTGGAGGTGCAGCGTTTAGCTAGAGCCATGGTAAATGAAATGTTCCTCCAAGCAGTATTTTTTATATTAATATCACTTCAGTCCATATGTCATCTGGTACAGACATGGATACTCAGAGATCAGCAATATTTACAGTCATTGTACAAGTAGAATGTGAAGGTTGGTGATATTTATCCCGCCATCATCCACTGTGATTGGATGGCTGGGTAAAAAGTGATATTGAGGAGCGCTGCATTTTACCCAAAGTTGAACATTTTCCAACTCTCAGTGACCAGAAAAAAAAAACACCATGTGCATAGCGCTCAGCGTGATATAGACGCTCACCACCTTGTCACGCTGCTACCGTTTTTTAAAAACATGGCGCTCTCATTGAAAACAATTGAAAAAATATGCTAACCTCAGACAGACGGCTTATATATAATACATAATATATATAAAAATCATGTTAAAAAGATGTGTAGTATAACGCAAGTTACACACATTTTATTGTCTTGCAGTCTTATTGATGAGGTGTGGTGCTAAGTGAGACAAAAAAGGTCAGGAAACACGGTCGTACACAGCTGGCACAGCACGATAAAAGCGCACCTGCTAGTGTTATGTGTGCCTGTGTAACAGGTTATCCAGTGTGGATGTCTGAGCCCATTAGAAATTACCCGCTCGCTAGTCTACAGATTTCTTAATGTTGGTTACACACTCTTATGACAGACACAGATACCAGACACCACTGCCGAATGAGGAATGAGAACCATGCAGAGAGAGGACACCGTTTGCAGGCCTACTAACCTGATGGCAACTTGATCTATGGTGGGACAGGATTTTTTTTTTTTTGTCTCACAGATAACAGCACAGTTGATATAGTGAGGTAGGTTTGCACTATAGGCAAAGCTGCGGAGGCCCTGTAATTTCATTGAATGAGTTTGAAAAGTTTCAAGAGGATAGCAAATTGTGTAAAGCAGAAACATGATTTTCCTTTTTATTTTTTTTTCTGCTTATCATAACCATGCAGCAACACATTTGATGTAGCAAGTGATGCATAAAATGCCTCTTAATACCTTTGAACTTGATTGTATTGAATGAACACTTGTACTTCAAATCTTAAAAGTGTATTTTCTAAAAACTGTACTTGTGAATAATAAGATTAATAAAAAATTTACTTAAAGATGTACATTTAAGTGTACTTAAAGAGATACTTTCATGACTGTTTCTTAACACACTTTAAAAAGTGCACTTTGTAACAATGTCAAATTAAAAGTACACTTATTTTGATGTGTTGATTAACATACCAAAGCACAGGTAAAGTACTGGATTATAATTTTATCTGTAGTGTGTTATTCGATATTCCATTTAAAGTTAATAAATGCTTGTCAGTACATTCGGCAATACACTTTAACCATATTTCAAAGACAATAGAAGTATAGAAGATGTACTTAAAGGGTTAGTTCACCCAAAAATTCAGTCATTAATTACTCATCCTCATGTCGTTCTAAACCCGTAAGACCTCCGTTCATCTTCGGAACACAAATTAAGATATTTTTGATGCATTCTGACAGCTCTCTGACCCTCCCATAGACAGCAAGGGTACTACCACGATCAACGTCCAGAAACGTAGCAAGGAGCTCGGTAAAATAATCCATGTGACATCAGGGGTTCAACCGTAACATTACGAAGCTATGAGAATACTTTTTGTGCGCAAAAGAAAAAAATAAAAACGACTTTATTCAACAATTCGTCTATCTCCTTGCTACGTTTCTGGACGTTGATCGTGGTAGTACCCTTGCTGTCTATGGGACGGTCAGAGAGTTGTCAGAATGCATCAAAAATATCTTAATTTGTGTTCCGAAGATGAACGGAGGTCTTACGGGTTTAGAACGACATGAGGGTGAGTAATTAATGACTGAATTTTTGGGTGAACTAACCCTTTAAGTACATCTTCTACACTTCTATTGTCTTTGAAATATGGTTAAAGTGTATTGCCGAATGTACTGACAAGCATTTATTAACTTTAAATGGAATATCGAATAACACACTATTTTTACATAGTGTATCTGGTCTAAATAGGACTAAATGCACTATAACAGTTAAATCCTTTTGACTGATGGCTCCTGACATTGTAAACCTGCTCTAATTTCAGAGTCTGACAGAGAGGACAGTCATGGGAATCCACAAGCCAGAGATTCACCTGTAGGTTGGCACTTGTCAAACCATTACCACTTTAAAGCAAATAGAAGATGGCTGTTTTATTTTATTGATCTCATGGCTGCCTTGTTTGTCTCTTTACAAATAGGTAAACAACAATAGACGCTCTCCCCCCTCAGACAGGCCTCCCTTTGGCACTCATCTAAGTACACAGCACAGCATCTCCGCTGATGAACAGGACAGCCCAGAGCGAATTGTGAGTACTACAAATATAATCTATGAGCCCAGCCATGTGGAAATGTGAATCTCAAACTTCTCTTGATCTTACTTCCAAATTTGTTTCCAAGGTTCAAAAGAAAAAACTCCATGCAGAACTAAAACAGGTTTTGAGTCAGAAGAGAAGCCAGCTTAGAGACACCCAATCCACCCTCACAGACATGGAGGAACCCCCCAAGACAGGCAGTAAGAATGAGGTACGAATCAAACATCCAATAATATGAATTGCTCTAAAAAATAAAATAGATTAAAAAGCACCTTTGTGGAATACAGTATGAACATCTTTTGAACTTCCTTTAAAAAAATTAATGTATACAACTCAAAGCTTAATCAGTATTATGTAGGTCTGTATGTATGTGTATTTTTTTTTCACTCAAGTACTGACAATCAATCATATCCTACTGCTATCCTACTGCTGCTACTGTATTATCTAATTGTCATTTACCTACTTACCTTGCCATTGCCATGCAATGTGCTAAAAATGACAATAAAGTTGATTTTGTACATTTTATGAGCAGGTGGAGAAGGAAAACCAGTTCTCAGAGCTTGTGGAAGTGGTTGTTGAAACACAGGCTGAGGTTGGAGCTAGTGGGTACAGTGTTGTGGGTGGAGGGGAGCAAGGCATCTTCATCAAAGAGGTTTTGAAAGACTCCCCAGCAGCAAAGCACCTCAGTCTACAGAAAGGTACCAAGGGACTGTATTTTACTTTAAAAAGTGCAATGTCAAATACTGTTGAGCTACTGTCCTTGAAGAGACAAGCATGAGAAGCATCTTTAACCTTATAATCATTAAAGGACAAAATTTCCATGTTGAGTACCGCTGTACTGAATTAATTTTGTTTCCAGATGTACTAAGAATACAAAGACAAATCATATAAGTTATAAATAATTTTTGATGATGTGTTATTGCAGGAGATCAACTTCTAAGTGCCAGGGTGTATTTTGATAACGTGAAATATGAGGACGCATTAAAAATTCTTCAGTGTGCAGAACCCTACAAAGTGTCTTTCTTTTTGAAGAGGACTGTGCCAGGAAGTGAAGTCAGAATACGTCCAGGTGCACAAAATCTTGAGCTCAGAGGACCTAAGGCCAAGATGCAAAAAATGGTACATTCTGAAATATTGCTATACAATAGAATTACTTTTTTAACATCCACAGTATTTCTCAAAGTGAATTAATTTTAACAAAAGTACTTACAACAGTAGAAACTAGAAGGAATGATAACCTTTCTCTTGCAGAGCGTCAAAAGCGTGAAACCGTTCAAAACCAAGAAAAGGAGAGGAGGAAGATTTGGATTGAAAAGACTGAAAGAGAACAAAAAAGCAACAGCACAGGCAGAGCTGGATGTTGAGGGCTCACCTGGTAGATCAGACCTCAGTCCTGTTGATGTTGAGTTTGTATTCCCGAAGTTCAAGATGAGGAAAGGTGGGAAGGCCACTGCAGATGGATCAGAACATCTGGAGGGTGTTATTACTAGTACTAAGAAGAAGAGGAAGATCAGATTTCTAAAGATGAAGGCCATGGATGCTGCTGTTGCTGAAGGGAATGTCAATGAAGATGTTTCACCACATGAGGGAGAGGCCTCTAGAGCAAAGCTGAAGGTCAAGACGAAAGGTCCAAAATTTGGAATGAATTTCCCTAAAATTAAAAAGTCAAAGTTAGATGTACAATCTTCAAATGACAGTTTTGAGGTGAAAGAACAAGAAGCCAAATTTAAGCCTCCATCAGTAGAGTGTGATTTCAACATGCCTCAGGACAAAGCTGAAACTAATGTTCCTAATCCTGAGGTTAGTGTTAAAGGAAAAGGAGAGGGTCCTGAGATAAAAATGCCGAAGATAAATCTGGATGTCTCAGATACAATGGGGACAGTCCCAAAGTTCAAACTGCCAAAGGTAAGACTTTCTTGTCATTCAGATGAAATTGATGGAGAGGCAAGGAAAGAAACTGATACATCTGAAAATAAACTGAAAATGCCCAAGATTGACATCAAAGCACCAAATGTGGATTTAGACTTGCATTTCCCAAAGACTAAGGGCAAGGCAGGATTCAAAGTTGTTGAAGTTCCTGATTGCAATGTAAAAGGAACAAAAATCAACACAGCCAAGCCTGACACATCCTTGCCAGTGCTAAACCTTGATGCAAAACAAAGATTTGGAGATGACATTGATAGATCCATGGACAAAGAGCATAAGATTTTCCTCCCAAAACCTGACATTGCAGTGCCCAAGATAGAAACGTCAGGTCTTCCTATATTAGATGTGTCATTACCAAAGATGACCGCAAAAAACATTGATACTGAGGGACATGCAAGTACTGGGGTAAAATATGAAATGACAAAATTAGACATCTCTCTTCCAAAAGTAATATCCCCTGAGGGTGAAGTCATAGTTGAAGAACCTGGCCCAAAAGGTGGAACATTTCACAAGCCAAATATTAGCATTTCGTTACCAAAAGGTAAAGGTGAAGCAAAGGTGGATGGCCATTCTGAGAAAGGACCAAATGTGAAAATGCCACAAATAGACATTTCCCTCCCCAAAATGAAATTACCACAAGGGAAAATTGATATAGACGGGCCTGAGGTTGACATTTCCTTGCCGAAAGACATGCTAGAGGCAGGTGCAGATGTTGAGGGCCACTTTGGAAAAGGGGAAAAGATTCAAATGCCTAAAGTGAAATCACCTGAGCATGCCATTGCTGAGGGGTCTGATATAAAAGCAGGAAAATTGAGTATGCCATCAATTGAAATTTCACTTCCTAAAGGCAAAACTGAGGGAAATATTGAGATTGGAGACCCATCTGTGAAAGGAAGCAAATTTAAAAAGCCACATCTAGATGTCTCGATTCCAAAATTGAAATTATCCAGAGGTGCAATCAATACTGAGGATCCAGAGGTCAAAGGTGAGAAATTCCAAATGCCACCCATTGATATATCATTACCAAAAGGAAAAATAGAGGCCAGTGTTGAGGTCGAGGGTCATTCTGGAAACGCAAACATGCCCAAACTTGATCTAAATATGTCACTGCCAGAGGGTAAACTCAATTCTCAGAGTCCTGATGTAGGAAAGTTTAGCATCCCCGGAGTTATAATTTCATTACCAAAAGGAAAAACAGATGAACAGATTAATCTTGAGGTTGAGAAGGGAGATAAGTTTCAGATTCCTAAATCTGATATAAGTCTACCTAAACTCAAATCAAGAGAAGTTGATTTTGATGTTAAAAGAACCAATAGGAAGTTTCACATGCCAGCAATGGATATTTCCTTGCCACATAAAAAAGACGAAAGAGATGTTAATGTGGAACCCTCTGGTAAATGTGGAAAGGTTGAAATGCCAAAGGTTGATATCTCTCTGCCTGCAGTGAAAGATTCTGGTGTTGAGATTTCCTTGCCAAAAATGAAGTCACCACAAGGTGACATCAGTATTGAAGGGCCTGACAGCAAAAGATTCAACATGCCATCCGTTGATATATCATTTCCAAAAGTAACTGACACAGGTGATGTTGATCTCAAGAGACATTCAAGAAGAATAGGAAAGTTTGATATTCCAAAACTGGATATTTCCTTACCAAAATTTGAATCAACTAAAGGGGAACTCAGTGTGGAAGGACCTGAATTCAAAGGTGGTGAGTTAAATATACCTTCTTATAATATCTCCTCAGCAGAGGTTAAAACAGGGGGTGATGTTTGTCTGGAGGGAAAAACCAAAAAGGGCACAAAATTTCAAATGCCAAAATTGAACATTAATTTACCACAAATAAAATCAGCAGGGACAGAAATAAATATTGAAGGACCTGAATTGAAAGGTGGGAAGATAGACATCCCAGATGTTGACATTTCTCTTACACAAGGAAAGGTAAAGGGAGATGGCAAAGTTAATGTCAGTAAGGGGGGCAAGTTTCTTTTGCCTCAAGTTGATTTGTCACTTCCAAAGATTAAAACAAGATCTGTGGAAGTCAATGTAGAAAGACCTGATGTAAAAGGAAGCAAAGTTTACACACCTTCCCTTGACATTTCTTTGCCTAAAGATAAAACTGAGAAAAACACTGATATAGAAGGCCATTCTGGAACAGGTATAAAGTTTGAAATGCCAAAAACCGATGTTTCATTGCCAAAAGTAAAAGCTACAGAAGGAGAAATTGGAGTTGAAGCTCCTCAGATCCAAGGAGGAAAGTTAAATATGCCATCTATTGAAATGTCCTTTCCAAATAGGAAGGTGAAAGGAAACACTGACCTTGATGGCAAAAAAACAAATTTGCCTAAATTTGTTATTAGCTCACCTAAGATTAAATCTTCAGATGGAGAAATCAATATTGATATCAAGGATGGAAAGTTTCACATGCCCTCTATAGATATCTCTCTGCCAGGAGGAAGAACAGGAGGAGATGTGACTGTCGAAGGCCATGAAGGCAAAGGAAGAAAATTTGAAATGCCTAAATTAGATGTTTCTTTGCCTAAATTAAAACCATCAGGGGGTGAAATCGATGTTGAAGTTCCCAATATCAAGGGTGGAAAGATTCACATGCCCTCTATAGATATCTCTCTGCCAGGAGGAGGAGCAGGAGGAGATGTAGATGTTGCAGGACATGCAGGAAAAGGAAGAAAATTTGAAATGCCTAAATTAGATGGTTCCTTGCCTAAATTAGAACCATCAGGAGGTGAAATCAATGTTGAAGGTCCTAATATCAAGGGTGGAAAGATTCACATGCCCTCTATAGATATCTCTCTGCCAGGAGGAGGAGCAGGAGGAGATGTAGATGTTGCAGGACATGCAGGAAAAGGAAGAAAATTTGAAATGCCTAAATTAGATGGTTCCTTGCCTAAATTAGAACCATCAGGAGGTGAAATCAATGTTGAAGGTCCTAATATCAAGGGTGGAAAGATTCACATGCCCTCTATAGATATCTCTCTGCCAGGAGGAGGAGCAGGAGGAGATGTAGATGTTGCAGGACATGCAGGAAAAGGAAGAAAATTTGAAATGCATAAATTAGATGTTTCCTTGCCTAAATTAAAAACATCAGGAGTTGAAATCAATGTTGAAGGTCCTAATATCAAGGGTGGAAAGATTCACATGCCCTCTGTAGATATCTCTCTGCCTGCAGGAGGCACAGGAGGAGATGTAGATGTTGCAGGACATGCAGGAAAAGGAAGACAATTTGAAATGCCTAAATTAGATGGTTCCTTGCCTAAATTAAAAACATCAGGAGTTGAAATCAATGTTGAAGGTCCTAATATCAAGGGTGGAAAGATTCACATGCCCTCTATAGACATCTCTCTGCCAGGAGGAGGAGCAGGAGGAGATATAAATGTTGAAGGACATACAGGAAAAGGAAGAAAATTTGAAATGCCTAAATTAGATATTTCCTTTCCTAAATTAAAACCATCAGGAGATGAAATCAACATTGAAGGTCCCGATATCAAGGGTGGAAAAATTCACATGCCCTCTATAGATATCTCTCTGCCAGGAGGAGGAGCAGGAGATGTAGATGTTGCAGGACATGCAGGAAAAGGAAGAAAATTTGAAATGCCTAAATTAGATGGCTCCTTGCCTAAATTAAAACCATCAGGAGGTGAATATCCCGATATCAAGGGTGGAAAGTTTCACATGCCCTCTATAGATACATCTCTGCCAGGAGCCACAGAAGGAGAGCTTGATCTGGGTGATGACACTAAAAAAGGTTTAAGATTTCAGATGCCCACTGTTATCTCTATCCCTAAAATTAAACTAACGGATCATGAACTAAAAGTTTGGTCAGAGAAGAAAGACATAGACATTTCAGTACCTAAACTGACTCATGATTCTGATATAGCGACCAAAGCTACTGGTGTCAAAATTAGAGATTTAAATGTCCCTGAAGTAACTTTAGGTGGGAACATTAAGCTGCCAAGTGTGAAAATACCAACTGTTGACATATCTGCTCCTAAAGTTGACCTGGACTTTACTCTTTCAAAGGGAAAGGGCAGTGATAGAGAAAACATTGAACTTCTTAAGGCGGAGGGTGGAAGGCCATCATCTGGGGCAAGTTTTGATGTTCCAGACGTCCCTATGAAAATGCTCAAAATATCACTTCCTAAATTTGGCAGAAAATTGAAAAGTGGAGACAAACTAGAACTAGACAGTCCTGACTTATCTATAGATTTGGACATGGAAAGAACATCACCATCAGTGGAAACATCTAAAAAGGATACTGAAATAATTGGTACTGCTGCTGAAATTAAGATAAAAGCAGGTGGTGGAGAAATTACAAAACCAGAAATCAGAGTAGAGGGTCCTGATGTTAAGGTCAAATCCAAGCTCAAATTCCCCAAATTCAAGACACCTATTCCTAAAGCAAAGCTCAAAGATGTGGAAATGGCTATGCCTGGATATGTGGATAACAAAGGAAAGGTCAGAATGCCAGCAGTTGAGATATCATTGCCAACAGCAAATATTCCAGAATGTGAGGTATTGCTTCCTAAAACTGAGGTTGATGTATCTGAAGCAGATATCAGATGTTATGAGGGCAGTTTAAAAATTCCTAAGATGCCAACAATTGGCATATCAGTTCCAAAAGTTGATTTGGATGTTTCCTTGCCTAGGTTAAAATTTAATGAATCAGTAGACTCTTCTGACTTACACATTAATAGTAGTAGGGGTACAGTAAATCTTCCCCATGTCAAGATACCTAAAGTAGACATTTCACTTCATCATGGAAAAACAGGTGACACAGATAACCATGAGGTGGAGATTGGAAGGAAGGGTAAAATAAGAATGCCAGAAGTGGAAATATCATTACCAAATGCTAAACATGACACATCTAATGCTGACATTAAAGGTGAAAAGCTAAAAATACCAAAAATGTCCGTGCCCAGTCTTGATATATCATTACCTCATGGAAAAATAACGAAAAATGATGATCCTGATTTAGAATTTGGAGTGAAAGGGAGTAAATTAAAAATGCCAGACATTATGGTGCCTAAGATAAATGTATCGCTACCTCACAAAAGCAAAGAAGAAAGTCATGCACCTGATTTAGAACTAGAAGGTGGAAAATTAAAGATGCCAACAACTGATATATCCCTTCCTAAAATAAAATCTAAAGACATTGTTCCAGAAATTCAACCAGATGTAGGAAAAGGTAAAGTCATGATCCCTGGAATTAAACTACCAACAATAGATGTCTCGTTTCCTCATGGTAAAACAGAGGACACTAATGACCTTGAACTGGGAGTGTGCGGCAAAGAAGGGAAATTCAAGGTTCCTGCCATCAAAATTCCAAAAGTAGATGTATCATCTCAAGGTCAACCAGCGAGTGCAGAGAAAACAGAGGTCAGAAGACAAGACGGCAACTTTCAATTACTGAAAATAACAATACCCAAAGTGGATATATCATTACCATATGGCAAATCAGATGACCCTCAGGCTTCAGGGTCTGTGGAAGTAGAAGGTGGGCAATGTAAAATGCCTGATATTAAGAGACCACAGTTAGCCATATCATTACCAGAAAGTAGAACTGGAGAGTTTGATACCAAAGAGGGAGAATCTGGAGGAGGGCATGGAAAATTCACAATGTCAAATGTTAAAATCCCAAAACTAGATATAAGAATGTCTAGAGAAGCAGACATGTCAGATCCTTCCACTGATGTGAGCCTTAAGGATTCGCATAAAGAGGGTAAAAAGATGAGGATGCCTAATGTGGATCTAGAGCTGGATCTTGGCTTATCAAGAGAAGGAAAAAAGAATAAAAAGAAGAATGAACTTCCAGATACTGATCTGGAACCTGCCGCACCGAAAGAAAAAATAAAAGGGCCAAAAGTTAAAGGTTCGAAATTTAACATTGGAATGCCAAAACTAAAAGTATCTGGATTAGAAAATGACATAAACAAGTCTGGAAAAATGGATGCTAAATTTCTAAAAGGAGGAACTGATGCAAACTTGAAAGCTGATTTACAAGCACCAAAGATTCCCGAACTTGATTTTGACATTGAGACTGCCCAAGCTAACACTAATAATTCTGAAGAAGATAAAAAGCAGACTGGTAAAGTCAAAATTCCAAAATTTGGAATACCTCTGCCTTCTTTAAGTTCACCTGAAGCCAACATCAGATCATCTCAGGGAAAAGGTCACTCTATAAACATAGACTCTGAGGCAGAGTATGAAAGCCCACGTATGCCAAAATTAACAAAAGCTGTATTTGTTATGGTGAATCCACAAATAGAGAACACTGCTAGTATAGGTGGTGAAGCAAGTGCAGAAATCGTAGATGAGAAGCACAAGCAGCCAAAGATCAAAATGAAGCCAAGTTTTGGCAAGTCTCCATCAAATGAAAAGGAGAAAGCAATATATTGTGAAGATGAGGTGGAAACTGAGGGAAAGTCAAAAACTGGTAAGCTTAAATTGCCAAAAGTAACATTTTTGTCTGGGCAGAGAGGATCATTTGATGTAACACCAAGTGGGTCTGATGATGGAACAGGTCCAAGTCTAAATGGTGACAAATATGAAAAATCAATGTTTGGAAAGCTTAAAATGCCTAAAGTGGAGTTTTTCTCACCATACTCAAAAGATGCAAGTGAGGAAGAGGAAATGGAAACAAGCCTGAAACTCAGGAACGAGGCCTCGGGAGAAAGCAAAGAGAGCAAGGAGTCAAAGACAATATCAGGCACAATGTCATTCCCAGGTCTCAGGAAGAAAACAGAGAAGGATGAGGAGGTGAGAAAGATTAACACTATAGTATCCTCGAAAGCAAAGACTGAAATGTTGGCAGAAAGGGAGGGATCAGAGTCTCCAGTACCCACAGTATCAGCTGGATTTGTCTCTGTAACGAAGAGTGAAGAAAGAGAGGAGACAACATGGTTCAAAGTACCCAAGGTCACCCTTAGTCCCCATTCTACTGGCATCCTTAATATCACACCAGAAAGCTCTCCAAAAGGATGCAAGTCCTCTCTTCCTTGCTCTAGCGAGGAAGCCTCTGGAGGTTTCTATGTGAAGATGCCAAGCGTAGAGTTTTTGACCCGTGAAATGCCCTCAGAACATCTGATTACTAAAACAGAGGGAACTCTTACTGTAGTGACTAAGACAACAAAGTATACAGAAACAAAAAGTACCAGTTCGAAACAGTAAGAATCTCAGTTACAGAACTGTGACATACTTGTCATGTCTTGGAGGTTTTATTCTATTTAAAGTAAAGAAAGCAAAAATATTTTCACCAGCTTTTGCAAGAAAAACATAACTTATACATAATGAAAATGTTGAGAATATTATTTATTGTAGACCTTATTTTCATGTTTTGTAACTTGCCAACTTTTGTAACTTGCCACTCTGTATAAACACAACATAGGCACAAATCTGTGTAACATAGATAGATGCAAAGATATTTAAAAACAGTTTGTTTTTTTTCTCACGCTTTTCATGTGCAGTCTTGAATGACATTTATGCTGTAGAATTTTACAGCATTTTGGTAATATTGCTTTGCCTTTTCATTGCCTGGTTTGTCTCTGTAGTTTTTGGTTGTTGTTATGGAATTGTTTTTATTATAAATACTATTAGAAATACATGTACTATTTTTACATATTTATATGCATGATCTGTACAGATAACACACTAAAATGAAAGCCTGTAATGTTGAGTATTTTTGTGATACATATTTTTATCACTTTTAAGATAAATTCAAACAATATTAAGTTGTTGTTTTTTTTTTCATTCACATTGTGACATGCTGTACCAGATAGCACTTCTCTGTTCATGAGAAAGGCTCTGAATTCTTCTGAATTGAAAACACTGAGTGTGAAATGTTTTTCTTTTCTTTTCTTTTTTTAAATTAACTCTTGTGTTGGTGGTGGAATTAGTCTACATGCAAGCAATGCTGTTGTATATGTATCATATTTTAGGCAGGTTTAAGTACATATGTTTGTATGTGTTGCTTTTTTGAAACAGTCATTTAGATGATGCCCCATCTCCATCTAATGCAAAAATAGAACAGTCAAATAAAATATTAACATTCTAATGAGTGGTAACTAATTATTTCCTGATCTTTTTCACTGATTTCTCATCATTCTCCTAATGTGGCAGCACTAATACATGACAAGTAGTGGTCCAATTCTGATACTGACATGGCAAGAAAAATCTACAAACAACAGCAGGCAGCCTTCCCCAAGATTGAATTACAGTGCCTACTGTATAAACATAGATCACCAAGTTATAAACACAAAAGTCTCTTAAGTCTTTATATTGAGTTTCTACTACCAATTACATGGCTAAACGAAGTCTAGGAAAACAGTGAGGGCAAGAGGGTTTCAAAGGGTTACTGACAACACAAGGTAGCCTATACTCACCAGAACTGACTGAAGATCTAAATGTAAAACCTAAAATTAAGCAATGTGTTCCCGCGTGTGCGTGTCCTCTTCGTGCGTAAGCGTAAAAGCACCGACAGCGTGCTGCACGCTCGGCTATTGGTCAGCTGAGTGCACGCACTGGATTGCGGAGGCTCTGCGTTGCATTGCCAGTGAAAGCAGCCTGCGCTATGAGGAGGAGACACGGAGGAGTAGCGTGACGTTTACTTCAACGGAGCACATGAGACCTACATGGGATTTAATAGGTTACACTAAAAATCTACGGTGGTCTGTATTCGGAAATGCTGTCTTAAAACGAAGTGGCGTCATGGATGTCATAATTTGTAGACGGTCCAAAATCCTCATGAAGGTTGAAGCCAAAATCCTTCAGCCCAGCAGCATCTTCACAACGTACGACAGCTGGAATTGTGCGATTCGTGACATCGCGTCGGTATGAGGAAAATAACTGGCACACTGTAAAGGTGAGAGGATACAAAGAAAGAAAGATGGGTTATTTATGATTCAAAAAGATGGATATTTTCATGACAAACCACCAAAAGAATCGATGCACATAATTCTCCCCTCCTCGAGGTTACCTCATGTTAGATACATCTGTGTGGGCAAGTGTTAGTTAATGATAGATTTGGTGCAAGTGAAGTGATCACGTATTGTGCGTGTGGAGACGACGTAACGCAGCGTCCTCTGATCATCATGACATAGTTTGTGACATGCGAAATAAAACATAAGAAAACAATGATTTTACAAGATTCGTTATACAGTAACTTAGGTATTAAATATACTAGCACTGAAAAAAATACCCATTGTCAAATAAAATATATTATAAAATACAGTTATTATAACTACATAAATATATGAACTATTAAATTAAGTAGAAATAGAACGAAGAAATAACTATCTTTTCTTGATGTGATATGACGGTATCCATCTTTTTAATATATCTTCAATAACTAAATATTGAACTAAGTATAAATAATTATAAATACATTTATAACAAAGTATACAAATAAAATGCATTATAAATACTGAATATGAATTTTTTGAATATTATTGTATTTCACAATATGTATATAATTATAAAATACATTAAACTACAACATAAATGTAAATGTACACAAGTAATTGTAATAATATACAAATTGTAGTATAATACAGTTTTAAAACATTACAATATGTATTACAGTTTTAGTTAATGCAAGAAAATGAAATATTTGCAATTCTTGTCTGTATGTGTGTGTGTGTGTGTGTGTGTGTAGTATGGAATGGATTAACTCTAATTTTATCTGAAGACAATTTACCATGAACTAAACTAATATGTGAACCTGCACTTTTGTATTGACCTTTAATTGTCACAAATAAAAACTCCAAATTTGTAGTATATACACAAGTAATATAGAAAACCCTGTAAGAAAATTAAGAACAAATAGTGAATGGATTAACTCTAATTTTATCTGAAGACATGACATTTTATCGTGAACTAAGCTAATATTTGAGTCTGCACTTTTGTATTGACTTTTAATTGTCAGATATTGAACTTAAATAAAGATATATGCGGTTTGCATTCCGTAACTGTTTGATAAATGCTGTGCTGTAACAGACAAATTTCATGATTTTGACATCCTAAATGTCATTCTTACCCACCACAGCATCTGATATTACTCCCCCAACCAAGAAGAATGCTGCAACAGAACAACAACAATAACTGCTTGGACATAGCCCATAGGGAGCTATTGCATGAATGCCGAAGAACCAATGTCTCATTCACCAGTGCCCTTGAGTTTGGAGCCATACCCCTGATTAAAGGCCTGAGAGCATGGGCTGTGAGTGGCGGCTACTCTAAAGCCAGGAGAAAGGCTGCTAATGGACCGCGAGCACAGGGCACATGCCAACAGCCTCCTGAAAACAGGGTGGGGCAGAGAAGCTGGTCAGGTCAGGTCAGCAGTGGCTATGGGCACACACTGGATAGCACAATTAGTGCAACGAGAACTCCAGGGGTCAGGCAAGGCAGTCTTGGCGCTCTTGTAACTGTGGCCACTTTGAAAGGCACTGACGGGGGTGGCAGGCAGACTCAGACACGCTGCCTCTTTCTCAAGGCCCAGGGAAGGGGCAGCTACATCTGTGCTGTTGGAAACCGAGGGACTGGGACGAGAGTCACAGGTCCACGGACTCACACTGTCATCCTTGAGGGGACAAAGGAAGAGCTTAGATGTTCCTCTAAAGGGCCAAAGCTGAGCCAGGATGGGCCAGACGATGGTGGGCTTTTCAAGGCCAAGCCCAGGGCCATACGAAAATGGAGGAAGTGCAGTAAAACAACAGGCTTAGCTGAGAAAAGAACAGCGGCTCACGGCAAAGCGGAAATTGCCAATCAGGGCGGTCAACCGAAACACGGTGACCAAAAAAAAGCAGTGATTTCAGACGCACAACCACTTAACGTAATACCAGATAACATAATAACACAATGCCAAAAGGGTAGCAGTGCTAGCTATCCACTTGAAGTCACTATCAGCTTGAAGTTGGGCAAAGACGAAAGGGCTCATTCCCACATATCAGTGAAAACTGACGCACCTGAGAGCACGGATCCACAAACCTGCTGCTCTTCTGCCAAACCATGTGCCAAACCAGGTGAGCAGGTTGAAGCTGGGATGAGTATTAATCAATCCGATAACTGTTCTGAAAAAGAATCCAGTTGTGCCAATGGTGATGCACACGGAGACACTGAGGTTAATAAATGTGACCTTGATGCAAATAATCGCCAGAACATTCAAAACTTTGTTGCTGATGTGCCAAACCTAGGGTCATCTGTAGCATCTGAGACTAACTTTGATAGTCTAGGAATCAAATTGCCCACAACAAACTGTAATACTGAGCCAAGCATGGATCATTCTCCCATGATAACTCCCTCCAAAGTCCCTGTCAGCATTCAGAAAAATCAAGAAGCCAGGCCAGATGAGTGCCTACTGAACCGTGAAAATCTACATTCGGTGGAGCCCGGTGATCTTACAACACAGAGAGATGGGACTCCAGACACAAAGAATACTGTTGTGCCTGAGGGCCGCACTCCAGTGGGTGTTGAATGTAGCACTAAAGAAAAGAAGAGGAGGCCGTCCATGTGCTCACCTCAGCATTGGGAGGAATTAATCACAGAGCATGGAGAACTTGAAGTTCAGCAGTCTGACAAATCCTCTTCACGAGGCTTTAGCGCACCAACAGCCAATATAACGGTAACCACTATTCACTCCCTGGTTAATCCTGCCCCTACCACCACTGCAGCCATAGCAACAGCCATCCCAGCATTAAGCAAGGGGGAGGTGGGGGCAAGAGGTGGAGATTTGCTGCCTCTGGTGAACTCAGAGTTGCTATCAGAGCCGGCAAGAGTTGACGACAAGGACAAGGTGGCCGCTGACGAGGGGTCTCTTGATGTGGGCGAGGAGGAGGAGGAGGATGAGTTTGGGACTTTCATGCAGGCAGGTGGAGAGCAGCTGTGGACGGACGGATTCAGTGAGATCCAACATTTGGCTGAGGATTGCAACTGTGGTAAGTACGCTGTCTTGAAAGTAGCAGGGTAATAAATACATTTTGTCAGAAGGTACAGGAAGTTCTCTTCTGGAGCAGGAACCTGGCTTTGTTTGGGTTTGAGTGAGCAGATAAACATGCAGTCCCAATGTACTAAACAGTCTGTCTGGATTGACCTGGATTCCTGCAGACCCCCTCGCTAGCCCCCGACCTCATGTGAAGATATTAATTATTTAAAGCAATGCTTGGTATTCCTACCCCCCCCCAACCAACCACTCACTCCCCCTGTTGCTGTGTACCAGCCTAAGGCGGGAGGCAGCATTAAAAAGACATGCAAACACAAGGCCATTGGGACAAGAGGGGAGGCCAACCTTCACAATGCCAAAGGCAGCATGTCTAGAGGGAATGCCTTGATCAAAATAGAGGGCAAACACTGCATTGTTTATTCAGCTAGTATGTCTTCTACCTATAATCTTTGGTCAAAACCACACTTTTCCACTTAATAATTTTATGGATTTAATTCCATTTTTGGCAGCCACTGTGTAATCTTAATCCGCAGGATTAATCCTGTTCTCTAAAGAGGTGAAATCCAGGTGATTCGGGTAGTGATCATAAACAGGTTTAACCTACTTTTTCATTTTGAAATGACGTCACACAAGTAGATTTTTTTAAATGACAAGTTATTTCTGTAAGCCATTTAACATACCTTCACTGTTTTCCTGTTGGGACATTTCTTGCACATTTCATAACACTTTTAAAGCTGAATGTCCAGTGAGTGATTCTAAAAGTGCAATCAGTTCTGTCTGAAACAGATGAATGTGAATCTGGTAACACTTTATTATATTGGTTGTTATATATATTGTGGCAGATCAGAAATGAAATACCTGGAGAGTGGTGCTTAAAGGTTAATGCTCTAACGCAGGGGTCTTCAACTAAAATTGTTTGAGGTCCAGTAATGAACCCTACTCACCAGCCAATGTCCAGACAATTATATCCCTAAAAACATGAATTGATGGTTTTTGCCAGACCAGGGTATCTGCAGGATATTTAAACTCATATTTAAGACTTTTTAAAACCTGCACAAATGAAATTAAAATTACTGTAAAAAGCATGATTTACAGTTCATACACAGGTTTTCACAAAAACAAAAAGTTTTATAAAATGGTAAGCTTCACATTTCAACCATTTTTTAAGAAAATGGAGTCAAAAGTATAAATTATTATATTAATTTAAACAATTATCAGCAATCAATTATTATATTAATTAAATAACATATAAATATATGTTAC